AGCTAAAAGTGCCTGCAAAATTCATCAGTCTGGGAAATGACGTTACGTATGTTCAAATGACTCAAAAACATAAGTAAAGGAAATGGCCAGACCTGGTTTTGGCTCTACAGCAAAGGGAGGTCTCTAGGGGCTCCGAGATCCTCTGTGGGCTGAACGTGGTTGTGGTCCTGCTGGCAGCTGGGAATGGCACACACAGCAAAACACTCCCCTTCCTGGACTCCACACTGAAATTCGGCTGAAAGCAAGAGCCACCATTAGCCCCGGTGTGTGGGCCCAGCTCTGCTTGGGAACTGGAGGGTGATGTTCAAAGCTCAGCAGGTCTCTGGGAGGATATCCCTGCTGGGCACTCCCCCACTGACATGCGTTGCTCTTCCACTGAGATAGGCTTCCCCCAGCATAATGCAGCATTTACTATGAGATTTCCATGAGGAACCTGAAGTGCCATTTAAAGGCTGCCACTTTCCCCCCCTCACCTCAAAGTACCCGCTTTTGTACACCCCTTGCAACACACCAGGTGAAGGGAGAGCCTTTAGACTTGCAGTTGGTTTAACCTCTTAGCAAACCAAGAATCTGTTCCCTCTCTCCACCTCAGCTGCCAGCAGAATAAGCCCCACAGAATTAGTAACTCAAAGGTTTCACTCTGAATGCATCACAGCTGTGGAAAAAATACACCCCAGCTTTCTGGGCTGATGACTTCCAGCTGTATCCTGTAATTCCCATTCAAGACTGCTTCCCAGCACCAACCTTAGCAGGAAACATCCCAAAAACTAAAGCCTGAGCTTATATGACAAAAATGCGAGGTGGTAAGTATCTGAATGTTCTCCGTGTGCCCTCAAGGAGCTGGGAGGGCACACCATGCAGGAGGCAGTAGTACGACACAGGTTGGACAGGAAAGGACAAGGCCTCCTCCTCTCTCCTTCCAGCTCTCTTAAATGGTCTAGGATGTCCTCACCTGTCAAAGATTTCTCCTCTTGCTGTAGCTAGAAACGGTTGTGAAATGTTAAGTCTTTGCTGCAAGCTCTTTGGTGCGATGCTAGTGCTGCCTCTCCCCTCCATCCAACTCATCTGGTGAAGTAATGTTTTGTCAAACAGAGCTACAGCGGATCCATTAGCTGCTTTCAACATCACAGCCAACATCAAGTCTCCAGGGCATTAAACAGTGTTCTTTGTACTCACCTACAGCACAGGTCCTCTGTCTGCGCGGCAACCTCCACCTGCTCCAGACCCACGTAGCCAGGACAATTTTTAGGTCTTAAGGTCAAAATCTGGAGGCTCAGTGAGTGGCGTGCCACCAATGGATCCTGTTGATGGAACCCACTCTTGTTATTTCAACGCTGTGTTGTGCTGGCCTGTGCTGTGGGATTACCAGGGTCTTGATAAACTCTGCTGGCAAAGCATCACCCCCAGTGATGGGCACTGGGCAGGGCGTCCTGCCATGCAGCGCCAGCCGGCTCAGCAGGGGGTTGAAGGTGGCACATGGGAGCCAGTGGTGCAGCTGCCGTAGGGCCTGTGCTGCAGAGCCGTATTGCACGCCCCAGTATTGACCTGTTGTTACTGGGATCTGCACATGGGGAGATGGTCTCCTGAAGCTCCTTTCTCTGTGATTCTCCACCTTAATGTGTCATGGCCAGTTTCGGCTGTATCGGGCAGAGAGGGGCAGTCCCAGGCCCCATGCCAATGCAAGGGGCTGAGCCAAGTGTGCTGTCAGCACAGCAATAGCCCAGAGGCAGCTACAGCGAAGGGCTGCCCTGGACTGTGGGGCTGTGGAAAGCTGCTGGTAAAGACACAATTTTAAAATAAAAGTGAGTTTCAGTACTCTGCTGCTCCTGGAAGAGCTACTTGCCTTCTTAATGAGACGGTTCCTGTGTCAGAAAGTTGCCTCTTTTAAAACTCACATTTAGTGCAAGGGGAATATTCCTGTCAGTGCTTCAGTGCACTTGGTTGAAGACACCATCTGCTGTGACACTCGGCCAGCTTGGCATTTAAAATGTCATTTAGACCGGAAAGCAACTGAGCCTGGATACTGAGGCAGATGTCATCAGCAAAGGTGAACTTCTATAACTGAATGAGGTTGCTGATAAAAAGACTGAATTGCAGAAGCATTTGCAGAGAGCCCTGTGGAAGACCGCTGATTTTTCTGCATACGCTTTTTTTTGCTGTACATGCCTTATGCAATCTACCTTGGAGAAGCAATGTTACAAGAGATGTCAGTGAAATTCTGCATTTAAAATCCAGCATTTGTGGTCCCTGCTGCTTAAAGCAGGATGAGCAAGTTTCTGTCCTCTCCAGAAACGGGACTGATGATATTTTCCAAACGAAGCTACTGAATCCTAGGCTTGCTTCATTCAGCCCAGTGGGGCAGGAGGACGAGCCCATTTTCCTGCCTTTCTGTGGAGTATTGCTGCACACAAACATGTTCAAAACTGCTCCCTCAACGTTTCTGTTCCAGCTGACAACAAAAGGACAAACCAGCTCTGAGGTCTCTTTCTTTGGCACAGGAGGTGTAGGAAGAATTACGCATCTATCTCTGTCCCCTGAATATGGAGGCTCATTCCCAACCATATCTCCTGGCGTGTGTTCAGGCTGCAATCCAAAAAATCCACACGACAAAGACGGAAGAGGAATGAAATAGGTAGAAAACACATTAAAAAGAAGTAGAGGCTAAAACTAATAGAGTTAATTGCTCTACCCAGGTTTGTGCCCATAGGGCACGTAGAGATGAGTGTTGGTAATGAAGCTCTTCAGCAGTGCTGGGGGAAACTTGGTCCTTAAAGTCAAATAATCAAGATGAAACTGTTGAAAGAGTCCTTTCCATGTAAGCTGCTCAGTATGGCTTAAATTGCTTTTCAGCTGTGCCTGGTGCTTTTGTTGACTTAAAGTAAATTAAACATTATTCTTTTTTAATTAGATAGGTTGGGAGATCTCAGTAAGTGCTACTTCCTACTCATTTAAAGACTAGGACTAGTTAAAAGCAATTAAAGCTAAACCCTCCACCTTTAAATAACAAATACAGAAATTGATTTAATAAGGAATCAACTGGGGTTTAAGTGACCCAGTCAGGTGGGGATGGGAAGGAAAAGAAGCCAGCATAGAGCCAGCAGTGCAGCTGCTGGGGTGGCTTTTAGGGAGTGAAGTAGGGTTTTTCTTCTTGGCAGGTGACTGCAAGCATATCATATATTCAAACCCCTTCTTAGTTGTCTTTAACAATGGTTTTTATACATCAGTGTATTGGGTGTAATTGCCCAGGCTCTGGCAGTAGGGGGCTGCAGTGCGGTCTTTGTGAGGAGAGGCTGGGGCTGCCCCAAGCCGGACGCAGCTGGTTCCAGCCAGCTCCAACCCACCCCCCAGGGCAGAGCTGAGCCCCGCGGCCAAGGTGCAGGCACCTCTGGGAAAGTGTATTTAAGAAGGGACAAAAACATTGCACAGGCAGGGGAGGAAGGGAAAAGAAAGGTGCAGCAGCTATGCAAACACCAAGGCAAAGCAGGAAGGTGAGGAGGCCTCTAGGCACCAAAGCAGATTCCCCCCCAGCCCCAGGAGGAGCCCACACCAGAGCAGGTGGGTATTTCCTGACAGGAACCGCAGCCTGTGGAGAGCCCACGCTGGAGCAGGTTCATCCCGAAGGACTGCAAGGCCATGGAGAGGACCCATGCTGGAGCAGGGGGAACATGTGAGGAAGGAGTATCAGAGAGGACTGACCACAACCCCCATTCCCCAGTGTTGCTGTGGGGCAGGTAGAGGAGCTGGAAGTGAAGGAGTGAAGTTGAGGCTGGGAAGAAGGGAACGGAGGAAGGTCATGTTCTAAATTTTTTGCTTTTGTTTACCACTATCCAAATCTATTTTAATTGCCAATAAATTAAGGTCAAGTCTGTTTTGTCCACGATGGTAACTGGTAAGCAGTATCCCTGTCTTTATCTCGACCCATGAGCTTTCTATTTTCTCCCTCATCCAGCTGAGGTGGAGGAGTGCGTGAGGAGCTGGGTGGGCATCCCACCACAGTCAGTTCTCTACAGACTGGGTCATCAGATACAGCAACCCTTGTGGAGATGGCAGCTCTGCTAAAAACTATTAGCAGGCTGGAATAAGAATCAATCAACTGCAAGATACAGAATAAAGCCACAGCCCCACCAACTCTCAAGTGTGAACTTGAAAACTTCACATTTTTGGGAATAGGTTCTGGTCCATTTTGCTTCTCTAATTTCCAACAAAATGCGTACTCAAACTTCTACACCTTTAAAGTCGCACCACAACAGAGCAAGCAGTCCATCCCAAATGCCTGTAAGAACATCTTCTAATGAATCTGTGACACAGAAGCAACAAAAAATATTTTTGTGATGGGGTCCAATCTTTGCACCCCCTTGATTCAGTAAGTTTCCGATGGTCAGGCACTGACTAGTCATATGGCAACCAAACACCCCTACCTAACAGGCAATTTTAAGCAAGTTCTCCACTGTCAACACCTGGGGGTCTTAGTCCAAAATCAAAGAGCCCGGGAACAGCTTTGGTGCCTGCTTATGGCTGAGCTCCCTTAGGGTGTGAGATGTCACAAGTTTTATACTATGTATCATACCACATTGTAATACAACAATGCATGCATACTCATGCACAAAGAATTATGAATAAAAACTATAATCCTTGATTTGCCTTATTAGTCTAATTTGTCTCATAAATGTTTAAAGAGATGGCTTCCTAATATAGTACAGGCATAATACACTATTTGCCATGCAGAGACTATAACAGGATAAGGTTAAAGACAGGAATCCTGTATTTCAAATTTATATTTGTATTCTGTTGAATGGTACAAATGTGAGAAGTGACTGTCACAGAATGATTATCATGCTAAAAATAGTTTGAAAGCTGTTTACGTGAAGAGCCACTGACAATATGACTAAAAGCCCAATATCTTGATGAAATTAAGACTTGCCATGTGTTTTGTCCTCTACCTCTTCCCAATGTTTTCTCACTTAGTTTCCCCTCAATTCAGTAAACTAAACTACAGCTGTTATAGGAGGCTTTTATTTTGAACAAAACCAGTGAAAATACAATTTACACTGAAAGCCAAAGCTGAGGCAAGTCACATTTTTTGTTGCTATTTACTAGCTGTTGTAGGTGGGATCCACTCTTGTATCTTCTTGCGAGTAGTAGAATAAGGTACATACTGTCCGGGAGTGCCACTGAGGTTGAATTTATGGTTCTCCCAAATAAATTTACGAGCGACTGGCGGATGAGTAGTTGGAGGGTCATCTGTCATCGAGTGAAGCCAGCGATGCCTTAAGAGGAAAAAGACACATTGTTATTTAGGACCATTACATGATCTATAAGAAGCCTTCCTCCTGAATCCCAAGGGTTCCTTCTGTAAAGAGACACTGTTTATTTTGTAGGGAGAACAACCCCCCCCGGGATTTTAATCTAGTATGACTTTGAATGAGACTACAGGATACTGCTTTAAAGAAATTACACAGACATAACTGATAAATAACAGTTCTGCTTCCAAGCAACTGAAAACACATCTGAGTTTGGATTTCCTGTTCCTTTGTACGCTTAGTATTTGGGCTTGGCCTTAAATGTTTGTATGGCCTTAACTAGCCAGCCAGGTCAAGGCAAGCACTACATGTGAGAAAGCCACAAGGTTTTGTTTTGTTTTCTGAGTTTTTGTTGGTGGTGGATTTTTTAATTTTTTTTTTTTATTACCAGAAGAATACGCCACACAATTTCAATACCATCTCCAAAGCATTCATGAGGCTACCACTTGGGATATGGATAAATGATGCAGGTTCACCTAAAACAATCACATAAATGTTTACTGACTGCACAATAAAATTATTAATACCAATCAGTAATGGAGTAATTACCAAGTAATTATAGTGATTATCCTTTAGCTATGAACTAAACGTCAAGCTTCCCCTATGCAAACAACATTAGTGATCAAGCAAAGTATTTTCCGTAAAAATTCACTGAAACAATACAGCAGGGATCAACTGAATTGATTTCATTCCATCTCGGTTTCAATGCCCAAAGCAACTTTCAAACCCGACTAACATTTTTATAAGCTGCCAATTTACATGTACTTCATACTGTATACATGCACGGTTATGACAGAAGTGAAGTTATGACTTTTTTTTTTGCAAGCTTATGTACATTTTTACTGAGGTGGAATTAAAGAGGCTTCTGCTAATCAGCTTTCACCAAGGATGTGACCTAAAAATAAGTCATCTTCTATTCCAGTTGTTATGAGAAAGCCTAAGAATTGCATCTTCAGCCTTTAGCAACAAATCCAGCACACTACACCAAAACAAAACCACGATAAAAGTAGTGAGAAATAGATGTGTTTGACAAGTATATTCTAAATCTGAAGAGCTCTACAGAAGGTTGATTATCTTTTCAGTCAAATAGCTTCTAGACATTTATTTCAGGAAAAGAAAAAACCTCACAACCTTGGATACAACTTTAGTACAAAAATCTCATTTTAAAAATGTGTCAGCCATATGTTCATTTTCTATAAGGAAAAAAACAAACAAAAACCCCAAACGAAAGCCACACGTTGTAGGACTAAGGACTGCCAAGAAACTGGCTTGAATACCAAACCAGATGGAACTGTAAGATCCTTTAAAAGTAAGAAGAAAAAGCTTGTTTAGAGGTAAAGAATGGCCTCCTATGGGAAAAATCATCCACTTATGAGTTTGAAAGCTTTACACACGTTCAGATGAAGTGACCCAACGCAACACGGGTGGGAGGGGGATCCCTCTTTTCCTCCTCTCACTCTCCTTTGTAAATCTGGTATCATTTGAAGGATACATTTCCCACTACTTCTATAAAAAAAAGAAGATTTTGGGTAATGATTTCCATCTGGAAGAAGGTGGCCCCATAATATTGCTAATCACACTGTAGTCTGAGGCTACGCCATCAGGCCTTGCTCGATTTTAACCCTGGTATGACCAGCCTCTGAAATGACCTGTCCAGACTGCACAAAGCTCTGACCTTACGTGAACTCCCAATTCATGTCTGGGAGGAGAATGCTGTGTACTACTAGTGGGCTTCACACTACCCGAGATACCACGCGTTGTATGATGGCTAACATCAAAGTTGAGAGAAATGCTGTAAAACAGCTAATATGACAGAGGTGGGATCGTATGCTCATACTTAACAAATCAGCTCTCCATTGAAACACAAAGAAACAGTTTGTGGCATAGGAGGAAGGGGAAAAGAAGAGTCCATGTGTCCATATCCATTCTGCCAATATTGACTTAAGTATTGCATTTCAAAATGCTTTACAGTATCACTCCAGAGCAAGCTCAGTTTGTCAAGCCCGCTTACCATAACATACAGAGGCAACTTAAAAACACACACCTTCACCTAGTGACGCTTCTGGTAATAGTAGATAGGGATCCTGCAAATCAACCCTTATTTATACACCTATCACCATGCCTCACTGTCCTCACGCTCCCCCCAGAGTCCTGCACACCGACAGGACAAACAAAATTGTTTTCTCAGACAGAAATGTAGTTACAAAGGCCCTGAAAGACAGGCTAGAGCAGGTGGAGCACAAGAACTCCATTAAAGCTCAGTTAAAATCAACTAGATTTCAAGCTTGCTTGTTATCTGATATCTCTTTCGTTACAAGTGTACTTATGTTGTACACTCACTCCTTGAAACATCAGAAAAATTATCACAATATTGACTTGAGTTTATTTACTCATTTGACTCAGGAGACAGAAAACAATAGTTTTATTCAGTTATTTAAACTATTGTTTTGCAGCTTTTCTAAGACTAAATCCATGAAGTTGTCTAAAATACAGTATTTTGGAGTAATTAAAGCATTACTATATTGGCTTTCAGGATTTTCTGAAATTAAAAAATTGGGCTCAAATTTAAATAGATCAGCAAAAACAATCCTTAAACTCCATGTTCTCACTGGAAAGTAGAAAAAGAATTGTTCATCTACAAGATAATTCAGTACAGTCACAGGTACGGAAATGCCTGAAGAGATTTCAAAAGTTTGTTTAGTACTCTATTAAGTACACTTGTATTTAAGAGTTTTAGGGCTTAAGCCTGGTCACAACACATTCCCCTTAGAAGCCCAACACATGACTTATAAAAGCATTTTGATTTGCAAAGAGTCTGTTCCCTCAAACAAAAGCTCCCACTCTCCACTTATGCAAAACATGTAAAAACTGAAAACTTTATTTTGGGAAGACCTTCCCCTTCACAACCTCCCTCAAACAGTCCTTTGAAGCCCTGATGTCACATAGACTCGACTCCCAGATGTTCAAGAAAAGCTTTTCCTGCACTAGATTGAACAGCACGAATAAAGAGATTTGACATCTTGCAGATGGCCAGATTTCTATACAAACTCTGCCTATAAATCCAGGCATGGAAAAATAGGATTGAAAAGCAATTAATGACTTAAAACCTACAAAGAGGCAGAGAACTTGCACAGAACAAACAACATAAAGAGGACAGCAGAAGCTCTAAAGAGGCTGAAGCAGGTTTCTGAATCACAGAGCAGAGTCACTACCAAGCAGACTGAGGCTTAGCAAAGCCTCTGGACTTTTCTTGAGGTAAACAGATAAAAGACACCTTAAAGTATCTCCAGCTGCTGTCAAGATTATGTAGAATTTTCTTCCTCCAAGTCAGACAAATATTTAAAAGCAAGAAGATTTCAAACTGAAGCTACAAAGGACCAGACCTAATTATATGATGTACAAGCTGTCAAACAAGAACCAGTGCTACACAAACTCCATAGCTACTACTGTATATGCATCTGCAAGGTTCAGGCACTGTCTACAAAAGTTCAGGACGTTTACCAACTTCCCAGCATCCAGTTTTCTCAGCAAGTTAACAGTGTTGCAATGAGACGAAAGAGAAGTGAAGATGTGTGTTATGGTCAAAGAGCAAAACGTATTTCAGTGCTTTCCCAAGTATTTTTAAGTGAATGAGAAATCAGGGATTTGACTTTGAGTAGCATAAAAAGAAGCTTTTTTAACTATTAAAGACAGTCTTCATTTATTATTCCAGGTCTATGTCCAGGGGACAAGAAATATGTTTATATTTGGGTACACATGGAAAACAATTTTGATTTCTCCTGAAAGGTACTGTAAGATACCACTGTACAGCAATAAACCAGCATCCAATTTATCTGAAAACACCACATCAGCATTTAATCTAGCTGTAAATCCCACAAATTTATTGTGAAACTACTGAAAAGATTTCTACTGATAAAATTTTTATCCCCCCTTCCTTTTCTGTCCAATCTTTACATTTCTTAGTATGTTGGCACTTTACTTTATCCCCCCTTCCTTTTCTGTCCAATCTTTCTGTTTTATTTTCCTTAGAGGCAGACTTGAAAAGCAGCATTTTTAGAGGAGAATAGCACATTTCTTTACATTTCTTAGTATGTTGGCACTTTAAGTCTGAGATGCTACATTCCTCCCTCCGCTGGCTGTCAGATCAACTAAAAAAGAGGATATAGATTATTAAACTGAAGTTAAATTTGAAGTATTTCATTGTATGAAGTTAGCACTCCTGAAGCTCCTTCCAAAAATGTCAGATTTGCACCATAAGGAAACAAACATCAAAGTACAGGACAGACATTACACATACAAGGGACAATGCTGGCAAAATGAAGTGTCCCTGCAAAAGGAGAAAACTATTCTCAAATTACAGTTCTTCCTTCCCCACAGGACATAACATATTGAAAGAGCATATTATTTTTAACTAGTTTGTACACATAAATCAGTTGTCAATTTGTTTTTGCAGTATTTGGCCAAAACACAAACCAAATTACATTAAACTAGATAAATGGTAAACAAACAGTGTGCGGACAACCACAAAAGGCTTTGAATGTGATGTAAGAGAAGCATCCTAGCATCTAGGATATTGGGCCTTGACTTGCCTGGACTTTATACACTCTCGAAAGGAAGCCTTCCTCCCTGTTGAAACCCTGGACATAACCCTGTTGAAAGCAGAGAATCAGGTTCCAAGTTGCCCCCCTCAGTGGGCTTAAGCTGAACCTCCCAGAATCCTCCAAATGCAAACTCATGCTCTTCCAAATTTCAGCTACAGGAGTATTCTGATCACTGAATAGCAAATAGGAGCCCATACCGGGAATAAGCAGACAAATAGGGAACTTTTGCGTGAGATATGAACATAACCTGAAAATCAAGACTGATACAGAAAATGTAGGGGAAAAAAATGCAATTCTCTCCTCTGATCCCAAACAGACTAAGGACAGTAAGATACTCAGTCCTCTCCCCTCACCTTGTTTCAGTGGAAAGAATCAACAAACCCTTAATTGTGAGGGTCAAAGAATCTAGAAATTCTGGAAGGCATTTAGACACTGCATATGCTTTAGACCCAAGGAACTATCAGCTATATCCACAGCACTCCCAGCAGACACCTCCTTAAGTTGTTATGGAGTTGCTGTAATACTGGCTTCCTCATCTTCCCAAACCAATTTATGCCAGTGAAGATGAGTAGAATTTTTTAGTGGTAAGGATAGTAATGTCCAATCCGTATCACTTCCTCTGTAATTTAAACCTACTGCTTCCTATTCTACCCATCTATCTGCAGAAGACAGACTATGCCTTTCCCTTCTGCAAGACGTGAAATGCTTCAAGATTATATCCACGGTCATTTCTTCTCCTTTTTAAGCAAGTTCTTTCTAACTGTCTGGTTGTTCTTCCTGCTCTTCCCTAAGCTTCTTCCACTGTCTATATTGTGTGTCTGTTTGGTTTTTAAGAGCACAGTACTAGTGTTGAGCACTATACCCTATATAAGTCTTCCTGGTAATAAGCAGAAAGGAAGAGTCACTTTGCATGAGTGCAGGCACTAATTCTTCCCACTTCTCAGGAGAGCACACTTCTTTTTCAGCAGTATGATAATGTGGACTTACTCAACCTGTCATCCCCATAACACCTAGCTCATCCTGCAGCACTGCCTGTCGGCTCTCCTCCTGCACACCACAGGGTAAGAGGCTGCTGGTGCCAGAAGAGTAGGGTCCTGCTCTCTGTCTTTGCACCCAGCTGTACGATTTCACTCCTCCCCTTCCTCTTGTGATTGCAAAGTGAGACAATGCAACTTGCCATATTGCTAAACTGAGTGCAGATAATCCGCAGCTGATAGTAACATTGATAAAAAAGCAGCACTAAGCTCTTTGATTCATCTATCTGTATTTTACACCCCTAATACTTGACTTCTCTGTGCAGCCTTTCATTAAGGGGGGGGGAGGGAAGCTAACACTGCTTTAAGCACACTTCCTTACTAACCTGCCCAGAACTTCACCCAGGTCTCAGCGTGCCTGTGATCCAAGCCCGCTTCTAGCAGGGCAAGTGGGAGGGTCAATGGAGAGAACTATAACCCCTACAGCCCTTGCCCTAGGAAGACAGCAAACTGCAATATTATCGAGAAGTACACATTCAAGGCAGCCAGTTTTTACTACAAAAACCCTTTGCCTGTGAAAATACTTTCGGTACCCTGACCAGTACTTACAAGCTGCTCAGGGATTCCCAAGGAGTCATGCGTTCCTCTTAATCTTAACACTAACATTTTCTTCCCTGAAACCTTTCAAAAAGCTTTTCTACAGAGCCAAAAGTATAAAATATTAAACCTGAAAGTCATTTATCTGTACCATCTTCCTGCTTGGTTTCTGATTTTTTTTAAGCAAACACAAGAAAGTTTTGCTTGCAATGAGTACATCTGTACATCAGTTGTGACTACACATGAATGTGAGTAAGTGCATGAAGCAGCATATGCTAGTTGTATAAAATAGTATAAAACCTGGTGCTCCTGGAGACGATTTGCTAACTGTAATATTTTTAGGTTGGGGATAAATGAATGAGGAACAAAAGGTGATACTGGGCCTTCTAACACAACAGTAAAATGGAAATGAGCTCAATACACAGCCCAATGATTAGAGCAATTCTGTAATGGAGAATTCTATGAAAGTACTAAATAAAGTGTTCCTACTGGCATTGGTACAAGCAGATTTAACTTTTATTGTTTATATGTTCACAGAGCACACCCAATCAGTGTGTTCAAAAATGGAAGTACTAAGTTTCTGCAAACAACATGCTCTGAACAGTAGGAGATGAAACAAGTATTTTGGCTTTCATAACTAACAGTGTAAAAGATGTCTTTGTGCAGGAAAAAAAATGTGCCAAATATCTTGTACAGCATTACAAGAAGATTAATGCTAATCATTCCCAATGCAAGTATTGAAAGATCTATAATTTTTTTTAAAAAAAAATCTGATTAACTTGTCTCCAACTAAGTGGATACCAACATCTTGATTTTGATGACAACAAAAGAAACCCCAGAGTAACAAAGAGGTTAAATAACACAACTATATCAGAATAAACCACAAGCCTACATATTCTGGTGCAGCAACATTTTAAAAAAGCAACAGTCTCAATTCCCTGTATAGTAGACATATGTCAAAACAACTCTCTTGATTTCCTTCAGACTGTGATTTCAGTACATCCGTTGTCAAAAGACATTATACCAATTATTTCAGAATACTGAAAATATTCAGTAGTTCCTAAAAATGGTAGTACAATATGTTATTACATGAGATGGTTTTTCTTGCTGCTTTTTCCTTTTCTCCACTATCTGACAGAAGGTAAAGGGTAAATGAATTTGCATTTTATTTTTTCCAGACAGTTGTTTTCAGAACTTTTCAGTATACCAAAATGCTTTTTTCCAATTCATCACACATGAAATGCAAGGTCCACCTGATAGTACTTCACCAATCATTCATATTCCACAATCCTGAAGGCACACAACTGACCACAAAATTATACTGCAAGATGCACAGTGTATTCAACAACCAGAAACACAGAGAAACCCAACCTCTAGTATGACTTACACTGAAAAAAAAGAAAGGAAGTGTTTTTCCTGCACATCCGCTAGAGTTCTCTATACTTCCCAAGAAAATAGTGCAACCACACAGAGTAGGATTTTTATAAGAGAGTACTACAAAACCATGAACATCTAAGGTTGCCATGTACGTACAAATTTATTCAGCAATGACCTGTCCCCCAAAGAACTGACCAGTACTGCACAACTAAGTTGCCTGACAAAAATACCTCAGACCACAGGATTGTTTACAGTTTCGTGCCGCATTGCACTAAGCAGTCTTGAAAATAATGAAACATTACTGTTTCTTCCAGGACAATTTTTTCCATGTTGATAGGAAAACAAGTTTTTCTACCTCACTAATTTATGTGATCTAAACAAGCGACTTAATCCTAGAAACATGACTTTGATAGTCAGGAAGAAACCCTTTATCAAGGTTTGTAAGGACACAATAAACAACATATAAGCATGAGCAAAGAAAAAAAACAAAGACCAACAAAACCTGTGCCTCAAAATAAAGAAAATCTTGAAAACCAGCACAGCCTAATAGCAAGAGAATAAAAACTAGAACCACACAACAGTTATTACGCAGATAACAAGGAACAGCTCGACACTGGCAGGAACATGCTAGTTTTGGAGATTCTAACGTCACTTCTGAAAAACAATGCCATTAAGCTCTTACTGAAGAAGACAGAAATCAACATTAACGGCATTAAACATAATTTTATGGCTGGGAGAATATGAAACAAAATTGACTGCCTAGACAGTCTACCCACGCATTTCTCAAATGTTCTAATGAGAGCCACAGTTTGGGAGTTTAGATAATCAATCTCGGCCTTGGCACAGAACATCTGTCACGGTAAGAATAAAAACCAATGTTCACCAATGTCCAGTATACCCAAGCACCTCTTATTTCATATCACCTTTCATTGCTTAGTGTCTGAAGTGCTATTCACATTCCTTGAGAATTGGGAAGAGATTGTTTTTGCTGACATACAGTTATTTTATTTGGTGTGTGTTTTTCCTGAGTTATTTATGAAGACAAAAAAAAAGTATTAACAGCTGTGTGGCCAGAGACCTTCTGAAACTCGAGGCTGTACAGAATTATTACTTAAATGCATGAATAGAAAACGAAACCTTAAGAAAAAAATTATAGTCAAGTAGCAGTCAACATACAGAGCATCCTGGCCCTTTGCTGTCATCATCTTGTGGAGTATTAATGTATATCAACTGAAATAATTATGCTGTTAATGGCTGTGGATTAAGGATGTTCCATCATTGTCTCACGTTCTTTAGGTTCTTGACTAGAATGGATAATAAAAATATTTTTTCTATGTCAGGCTGCTCAATGCTATTGTAGGCTTTGCCAAGCCATTAAGATGGAATCACAACTAATAAGGAAAATTGGAAGACTAGCTTGACCTGCTCAATCTGCCTGACAAAATGCTTTTCTTATTCCAAGAAGCAGTGAGTGCACTGTGAGGACAGTGAGCAATATAACATTATGAATGTAGTTCAAAATTAAAAGTAATCAGTCTGAAATCTTCTGGTCATATATAAGATAGCTGTGTCCAAGAAAACTTTATTACTATAAAATTGTTATGGTGGGTTTTTTTTTAATCTTCTGCTTTGTAACGCAAGAAAATACGCAGGCAACTACACAATTGGTATCTGTCGACATTATTAAGCTAAATGGTTTACCATTCAGGGGGCACCATACTTCCATCAACTTCCCAAAACGTATTCTTGCCATTCATTTCGTTAGTATAGATGACCCATCTGTGTCGACCTTAAATAAACAAACAGAAATATTCTATTAGCTCAAAAAAACCATAATTATTTTCATATAAAGGAGAGAACTCATGAAAACACAAGGAAAAGTATTCTGACTAAAACTATCTACCATTATGGGCACTTATTTCAAAGTCAGTACAGCTTTTATTTTTCTAAGTCTTCTGTATTTCTACTGTTACCGTATTTTTATATGGCTAAATCTAATACTCCTATGAGGAAGCAAGTATTAGCTATTGTATAAGTAACAGGAAATAGGAACTTACGAAGTTTTCAGGCAGAGAAACAGATTTAGGGATTTTTTTTTTTTTTCCCCGTTAAGAGTCTTTTGCAAAATGAGATTGCTATTAGAAACCAAAGATCAAACTAAGTTTCAGCCATATAAAACTATCAAGCAATGTGCCCCAGCAACTACTTTCCCCAGGTACCCTACAAGTTAACCTACAGTAGGCAGAGCTTGGCCTAACCAGTATGTCGATTGCTAATGCATCACCTTCATGTTTTAAGTACTACCTTTTTAAGTACTCTACAAACGTTACTTAAAATCCCACTACTTGAGGTAATAGGAAGTTTAAGCTAATCTGTGTTTCTTTGCCCTGAAGTGATTATATAAGTAGAGCTGTGAAGCAGTTTTAAAAGCACTTCTCTTTCTTCTCCCACCTGTTAAACTACCAGCTTTTTAGGTCAAGAACCAAACTCAGCTCTCAATCACATTATCATATAGGCATACCTGCATGGAAAGCATTTGACTGACTTAGATTTATCCCACATTTTTTATGTCAGATTGAGTATGTCTGCAAAGCAATTGAGGGAAGCAGTAGAGAGGCAGAAGATGTCAAAGTATTTCTATGAGTCCCCTCTCTAAGACACACAAGTCAAGCAGATAGCAAGTTCTATGTCACCAGCAGAAACTATGCAATCTGTATGAAGTTGGACAGTCTCGTATTAGCTCACATACCAAAGAAGTTTCTTTTGTCTTCATAGTACTTGTTTCCATATTTGTCAATTCCTATCAGCGTACCAGTCTTCAAATCATTGACCCTGTGAATTCCCAAAACAGAAAGTTTCAATTGACATCATCTTAGAATGAAGTTGTGATAGAGGTTTCTTAGGGGTTGGTGAAAATCTGTAATGAAAACCCTTAAACACATATATATAAAGCTATTTTAAAAAAATATACAATAGCTTAAGGATTGCAAAACATAATCACCAATTCCTACAACTAATATCAGCATGCCTTTACTGTCTGCCCCACTGACAGGATAATAAAAGGCTTTTGGGGGCCATTATTTACTTAAAAGCTCTTTATAGTGGAAGATAAAGCAATTCTGCAAAACAGCACAATTTAACACCCAAAAAACCTTAAATAGTGTGGAAGGGAGTCCCAGAGACCCATGTTAATTCACTTAGTTGAAGATGTTACCATCTTTCTTAGCTATGTGTTACTACCATTTCAGCTTGAATTGCCATGGAAAGTGGACAGCACTGAAGCAGCTTCTGGGCACTAACCTCCAGGAGAGGAATAGTAGTATTTTAAGCCATTGTAGCTGCATGCTAAGGAAATGCATGCTAAAATCTAAATTACAATTGTTACTTTCTAGCTTCTGTATAACTGAAAGATGCAAGCATTTACCCTGCCACTCTGGTATATACCAGATAAGGTACATATCAGTTTCAACTCCTTATACAGAACATATTTTAACATTACTGTACATATCAATAGTTAAACCGAACCTATGATTTACATTCTACTGATAAAACCTTAAAATTACTGAAGTGCTCTTTTCCCCCTAGATCTGCATGTTTGGTTTTTTTGGGGTTTTTTTGACATTTTTGTCAAAAATGCTTTGCTTTTTTACTGACATTTAATCCCAAGCAGAATTACATAAGGAAAAGTTTACTCTCAAAGGTTTTAGTTGTTTGTCGTATTATATGCACTCTCAACTCAGTCCCAAGTGACAGAAGGGATGTGCACATGCATGCTTCCTTAGTTGGGAATCCACCCTTAAAGTTTTTTTGTTGCCATCCTCCCAGGGTGCATGAAAACGATAATCACTCCACCAAGTACTCATTTTAAACCTCTGTGGTCCCAAGCAAAAAAAACCACTCCGAGGTCTCTGGCTCAACTATGCAAGACTGAGCTCCCTGCTTCAGAAAAAGAAGAGCAATTTCACTGCTGCTCTCCCTTTCTTGTAAGGGTTCTTATACCCTTGTCCTGACTTCATGTCCTGAACACTGATCTCAAACACTACGATCTATTTATGGTTTACAGAGGACATTTTCCATCCCACTTCACCAAGTCCTGAGTAAGGAAGATGTTTCCAGGCATATAGGCTCTTAATAATTTGATTTCTACTGCACAGAACTTGTTCCAGCCTCTTTAGTGGGAAGCATATAGAAAAAAGCAGAGAAATTCAGAACAAAAGCCTTGTAGAGAAAGAGTCTCCTGACTTGGGTAAATCATTTTTCCAAGTTACCAGTAGTTACTTCTTAAACACACCAATTGTTGCAAGAGAGATACATCTTGATTACTCTTCCTGTAAGTGCCAAGTTTACCCCTTGACACAGGATTCAATGGTTTGAAAAGTAAATGGGAGGCAGCAGCTGTGTCACTTGTATGGTTATGAGGATCAGGTGTGGTTCTCCACCCAGCACACCTCTCTTCTAACTTCGGTCTTGTGACAGAAAAAGGAGAGCACTGCCTCCACCCTTGCTCCCTTTATCTGCATAGCAGAAAGGTGTCAACACAGCCTGTGATCTCTGATTCACAAAAGCTCCCTGACAAGACATTCATTACCATGTGCTTAGGAAGGGGCAGTCAGGTGAAACCTAATACTCAAACTCTTCTACCCTTCTATTTCCCCAGCTCCATTTCCTCTTGAGAACTGCCAGTGTAATAGCTACAGACTCAGAAAGGAAAACGAGTGGAGAAAACAACTTGCGGGGGATGACAGAAAATAATAGTAAAATACTAGCTGGGGAAATCATATATTGTCTTAACTTATACTGCTTAACAGCTTGAAATTTCCCTCTAAAAAGTTTTGCAAGAGGAAGGTCTATCTGAGCTGCTCTCTACAGTGGAGACAGAAAAGCCAGAAGCTGCCTGTCACCACAGCTAGCAGGAATACAAAGTCAAAACTGAGACTTGTGACCCCCCCGGAAGTCAAGCTGACTTCAGAAACGCATTCGATATTGTGCCACAAAATAAATGAGAAAATAATGAAAAATGGTATAATAATTATAAAGGGAACAATACATTGACTGACAGGAAGATGACAATGTGCTCAGCTGAAAGATGAGATACAGAGTTGACTGAAAGTTACTAGTGAAGTTCCACAAAGAATGTTGATGTCAGTAGTCTTATTTAACACTTTGCAGGGTTCCTGACCAAAACAAAACCAAAGCAGAACCCCCGAAAAGCACAAGGGTCTGGCAGATTATGATATTACCATACAGAGGAAGGTCACATTATTGTACAGGTAGTTCTGTACTGTCTTCAGGGCTGGACTGATACCGCTAGAATGAAAACCAACGGTATGAAGGTCATAACACAAGGTGATGCATCTGGAGACTAATAAGATCTGAAGCATTGTGTGCATAATCACAAGGAAAACATCTGGATATCACAAGGCAATAACAAGCTGCCAATTAAGTGACACGTGAGGAAAAAAAGACAAGCTGATCCTAGGATGTCCCAGGTGAACTGAGCTTTCTTCAGTGAACAAACCAAGTACTAAACTCACTGTATGAAAATACTGATGAGGCCTGATGAGCAACTGTGTAAAATGTTATGTTTAACTGTTCAAAACAGATTAATTTAAACTACAGGAAATAACAGAAAAAGGGCTATTATGATGACTTGGAAAAAAAAGTCTTCAAGAAGACTCAGAAAGCTTGGCTTGTTTATTCTGGCGTAAGAGAGCCCTTGATAAGGAAGTTCACATTTGTGAATCCTCCCTATCCCATACTCCTGACTTCCCACTATTAATTAAAAAAAGGCTTTTTGGCTATGTGGTCAGGCCTACAACATTCACCATACCCCAAAGAAATGCTCTATTACTTTTCCAAGATCAGCTACAGAGGTAACACAGGTTAGTGATGCTGTCCAATTTGGATCATACACCATTCAGAATTCAACCGTATGTTTCATCAAGGATCTGGATGAAAGAGTACCTTTGTAAATCTGCAGTTCCTTCTATTGAGCAAGAGCTTCAAGCATGCTGTAATGCAACTCAAAATACTCTCTACAAGGTAGAGATGAGATGTGAGTGGGGAAAAAAATAGGGAAAAGTTTAATGTTGACGAGTGCAAGGTTCCATGCTTGGGAACCAAGTACACAGACACGACTGGGAACAAAGGCTGCAACTAATTCTGCAGAAAACACCACTGGGGCTAGAGGGCACCCAACGCTGGACACAGGTCAACGGTGACAACCCGTTACCAAAGAGGCAGGCGTACGGTTTGAAGTGTTAAAGAATTACAGCCGGTAAGGCAGATTAATTAATTGTCTGCTTTACACCGCAGGATTTCAGCAGAAGCACAGCTTTCAGATTTGTGCACCGGACGGTTCAAGAAAGCTGCTGCCAACCTGAAGTGGTCCAGAGCAAAGAGCCGGTGGGCCAGCGTGATGGTGGTCCGCAGTAGCACAGGAGGCGGCGGCAGTAGAGCGTCACCAGGGCAAACACGGCTGTAGCAACGGGACTAAGGACTGAGGCTGGACACCGAGAAAACCGGCCTGGGCGATATGACAGCCCGGCATCGAGGAACACACTAAGAAGCCTAAAGAACCGCC